TTATTATTAGCGATACTTTTGTCGGGGTTGCTCACTCGCTAAAATTTTTCTCGGATTGCGCTGATTCGTTGAAAGTTTTTTTTTGTTGAAATAATTGATGTTGCATAGAACATGCGCGAATTTAAGCATATCTTACTTCTTATGAGAAAGACATCATGTGATATGTGTACAAGATTCATTCTTCAATGAAAAATATCAAAAAAATAATTTTACAAGGGAATCAACGTCGAATGTTTCGGTTCACTCAAAATAAATCATCTGTATAAGCCTTATTTACGAATTTCGCTAACGACCACTGCCGGTTCTCTGCGTCTCAGTTTAACAACTTAACGTTGTGCACGTCGGCACTTCGGTTAAATTTGCCCACTGTCGCGTTTTTGACCTCAAAAGAAAAAAAGCTGACACAATGGCAGTATCAGCAATGCGTGTTCAATTCATATCAGCCGAATTGAAAATTCACAAATTGAAATGGCATAACGAAACTACAAGAAACACGTTCAAGTACATTCGATAAAACCGGTAATTGCATTGCATAAGTCCCATATCAATGCCGAAGACACGATCGCGTTATGTTAACTTGCAGTGGCCTCATGGGAATCATGGTAGCGTGACTCCGAGAATATATTTGCACATCATAGAAAATTGGATTAGCTGATCAGCGAGAAGCGCACCTTACAACGAACCAATGGTTTGAGAACAGAGTGAATGCCTCCATCAACCACAACACAGAAGTGTCGTTAAAACTCGCCTGCTAGAATGGGTCACATTTGCATCGATCCATAGAAAATAGTTTAGTAAATTGTCAAAATTAGATTCGCATATCAACAAAACGACAACCGAGCAATCTGAGGTTTAGCGATGCCCTCAAAAGATTATTACACAAACTGAGAGAACGCGAGGAATGAAAAGGGATTATTGTTGAGAACGATTGGAATCATGACTACTACCTGTTATATATAAGACATTAGAATCTGGTCCTAATGGCTATCGTTCACAATCTCAACGCACAAATATGAAGCAAGCTTTTCGAAAGTTTTGACGTAAACCATGCAATCCTTTGAATAATTGAATAATTAAGTACGTATTCAAAGAGAAAATGAACAAGAAACTAAATTGTTTTGCTCATTAGTTGTCTAAAGTTTCCATTATAACGAAACCGAACTGTTCGAACAGGATGCAAAAATATCGCGAATTTGCTCAGAGATGACCTTGAACAACAAGAAAGCGGCAGAAAATTGATTGATTATGAATGAGTATTTGTTCGATAATAGAGCATTAATCACTTTCAAAAAGCGATAAAATGTTCTGCTGCGTTACCAAACACTTCTGACAGCAAGAGATGTTGAATGTGATACTCAAGTAAGTACGTATTCATTTCATCATATAATTCGATCATTTTTCAAGCCGATATTGATCCACATATTGCGTAAGCGTTAAACGATTAATGAAGCAGTATAGAGATAATGCAATGGAGACGGGTGGTCTCCATTTGAATAGGTGCTAAGTCAATGATGTATCCTCATCAGTGAACGAAAGACGTAACAACAACCACTGTCTGATTGATTATTTCATTAGATATTGATTGCACAAATCACACGACTTTAATAGTCCGTCGCTTCCCAGAAAAAGTAAATGATTTAAGTCGTTCAGCATATTTGGAAGCGTACTTTTACAACCGTTCGTTCACATAAAACTATTTGAAACTAATGCGCTTTGATTAGTTCGTAAACCAAGAAAAACAAACAGAACAAACCATTTTAAAGTTGGAGATCGTTCCGATGAAGTATGGCTCACACTGGGAGACCTCAATGAAGACGTGGTCGCCTGGTCGATACAATATGCCATCATGAGCTTCGAAGCATTTGTATTCGCTGTCTCGACGACCTTTGTAAGCCTTACCGCGCTTATTCTTCGATGCATCGCTCTTGAAAACGATAGATCAATGTTGACAATTATTTTCTTTCCACAATAAAGCAACTTTTAAATCATGTCAATTCAGTTCAAAATATATCTTCATGAGAACTGTTGTTGAAATAAAGGAAACCTTGAGTGCAAAACTGCATGTTTGATGCTTGAAAGTTTAGTGCTGAAATTTGTTGTCAACAGAGCGAGCAAAGAAACAATCGTACATAGGGAAAGAACAATCAAAGAAATATAAGAGTGATCCAATAGCAACAGCGATGCCTACAATTTCCATGAAGGAACACACAGATGCGACAATTTTTAATTGTAGTGGTTATTTACATTAGATAGGAATTGTGCACATATGATAAAGTGTCAAATGTAAAATTTAATCTGAAAATCAAAAATATTGGCAGAATACAGTTTCGAACCTGATGACTAATAGCTAAAAATAAAACACAAAGAACTGGGAATTTGAACGTAATTTGGTTTGTTTGTTGCACGTGAAAATTTGATCATTTGATAATGAAAATGAAAATGAGAGAAAGATGAACAACATCATTAATGATGACAATCAAAATTACTGCAGTGCCCATAACGATTACTAGTAAAGTTCGAAAATGAGCTGAGGTAATCAGCCGACTAGTGATATAAATGTTTTGTCGATGCCGAGATAACAAACAGGAAATGCAGAAGTTTTTGAATAAACTTCAATCTCTGAAAAGTGCCTCAATGAATTCATCCGTGAGGAGAAAAATATCGACAGCGAGAGCGAATGTGCGAATATAACGAGTGAATATTTTAAAAACCTTTAACTTGACATCTAAGCAATCGGTGCCTCATAACGGTTGTAAATAATCCAACTGATTTCGGATTATTTTGACTTTGCACTCAAAAATATCACACATAATAATTTGCTTTCTCAAAAAATTTTCATCTATCTACGCAAATAAATGCACTACGGAACAACCCGATTGAACAGATTATACACTGCTCATATGCGCATCATGTTGATCGAAATTTCAAAATGAAATTCTTAGTGAAACATGTCGGAGCTTTGGAACTAATTCTATCGAACTCGTTAGATATGCGAATATCATCAATCAGTTGAGATCGCTTTCTTTTTGCCACATATAACAATGGAATGATGGAATACCGACCGAAAGAGAGAGGTGATATGAAGTAAAGAACATCAGCTAACATTGAAGCAACAGAATTGTTTCATTTTAATTCTTTGAAATGATTAATTCGTTTGCTCAGAATTTATTCAGATAATCAATCGCGAATAATGAAAAAGTATCATTGAAAAAGAAATCAGATAACATTTAGATTCAGAGAAATGGAATGGAGACCAAAGGATAGAACAACAGAATTGAAAATTTTTGAATAATTCACGAATGCATTCAATTATGTAAATCAAGTGTGGGATTTGATCAAGTGCAAAAACACAAGAAACATTAAAATTTTAATAAACATTAAAATTTCAACACAACACACACAAATACATGAGTAGATTATAGCGAGATGGAAATACATTTCAGTGGGAGTGCAACTGTAAGGCGGTAGAGCACTCATAAACGAAACGAATGCATTCATCCATAATTGCATGATAGATGCTCGCTCTCAAAGAACAAAAACAATCGCTATGTTTCAAGAGATGATTACAGCAAAAAACTGTTTTGCTTTACCATTGCACACCTACAGATCCACACATTAAGAGCGAGACATCAAACTAAGAGCAAATAAATGAGCAAATTTTCGAGTTGACTATATTAATGATGATTATTTCCTTGCGTAATGGATCCAAATTCACGGAACTTCAAAAAAAAACTTGCCAATACTGTAACACCCAATGAAAGAAAGAAAAAGACGAAAGCAATGGTGAGAATCGAATCATTATTGGTTTGAAGTGATTGAATGCAGAAGTTCGAATCATCTGTTTACATTCTTTTCAAGCCATTTCGTAGCAGTTTGATAAATTGAAAGCATAAAACAAAAGGAAAAAAGCAGCTCACTTTATTGTTACCATTGAGTGAATAATAAACAGGATCCACTTCCCAAAGACCACAATCACGACATTCTTCTGGAGTCTTACCAGCTGTTTCATCCTCATCAATCATTTCGACACTCCGTCTGCAGGTTATTCGTAAATTATTACCATCACTTTTCTTGTTCCTATCATCATAACTTAACAAATACGCATTGCAACGCAAACGTGTTAAGGAAATGAAACATAATCATATAATAACAATGTGAATCATTACGATTTTCCACTAAACATCACCAAATCAAAACATCCATTAGACAGCTGTTCAATGAACAAGCATTATCTCGATGTAAATGTCACGAACGATCCGAACAACAAACGCAATACACGTCTATTTTACTACTTTTAAGTAAGCATAAAAGAATAAATATGTATGATCAATATTTTAGTTATTACGATGAATTTTCTTGATAAGTGCCCTGAGAACACAAGAAACTTCAATGCTCGTTAAAACACATTGCCTAAGTGCATCGAACAATTTGTTTTGACTTGTGAAGCTTCATATATGCGAATATACATAGGATGTATGTACATAAAACTTCGAACATACTCACTATACGCGAATTAACTTCAAATTAATTCACTGACGGACCGAGGATCTTTCATTGAGATAAAACCATTGTCAATTGAAAGTCTTAAATATATGAAACATACCAGGCATTTCATACCTGATTTTAAAAAAATCAACAGTGATTGAAGGGGATGAAGTGATTTTAAAAGTCACCAAGGTGGCTACGAACTGCTGATTTCATTGTTACTTAAATTTCCATTTGGAGGACATTTTGCACGATTGAATCATACATTCTCATAATCAAAAGCTTTCAATAAGAGAATGAATCCAACAAGAAAAACTGGAAAATGTTCAAACGTATAAAAAAGAAAAAAACTTCGAACATTCCGCCTATCAATACATTAATCGTAGCGTCAAAAACTGAAACGTTTGGTTCAGCCATATGCTCACGTTACATAATTAATTCATCACTGCTTCATCTACTAGAAATATTCGAAGAAACGCTAATATCTCCAGACAACTGAATGAATGAAACGATCATCGTTAGCGATTCATCCCAATTACAACTTGAGTAAACATCTTCCATAACCAATGACTGTCTTTGAGTACTGTTTCTAACCTTTGAATCAGCCTAACTGAAGAGACAGTTAACGCCGAAATGTTCAATGAATAAATAGAATTGTCATACAATAAAATCAATCGCTGTTCTGCATATTTGGTCAACAAATTCGGTTGATAATTGAATCGTTGTTGGCAATACTTAATATGCATCAATTAAATACTAGAATATTCTCAAGATTGCAAACAATAATGAATGCAACGAACAAGTAACAGAAGACACTTGTCGAGGTTGGAGAGCACTGCTCAAATGAATGCAAATACCAAGCAGAAATGATACGATGATCTCTT